GCCTATATTTGGATATCGGAAACGTTCCGGGTGAAATCGGGATTTTACCAGAGTACCGGGGGTTACCGGACCCCCCCCCCAACGGGGGGTTAATGGGCCTACATGGGCCCTAAGGAAGAAGAGGAGGACCGGCCAGGGCAGGCCGCGCGCCCCCTCCCCCCTAGTCCGAATAGGACAAGGAAGGGGGGGCGGCGCCCCCCTTTCCTCTTTCCCCCTTCCCCTTTCCTTCTCCAACAAGGCAAGAGGGGGGAGTCCTACTCCCGGTGGGAGTAGGACTCCTCCAGGCGTACACCTAGGGCCAGCCGCATCTCCCCCTCTCCCTCCTTTATATATGGGGGCAAGGGGGCACCCCATGACACAAGTTGATCTTCGTGATCATTCCTTAGCCGTGTGCGGTGCCCCCTTCCACCATATTCCACCTTGGTCATATTGTAGCGGTGCTTAGGCGAAGCCCTGCGTCGGTAGAACATCATCACCGTCATCACGCCATCGTGTTGACAAAACTCTCCCTCAACACTCGGCTGGATCGGAGCTCGAGGGACGTCACCGAGTTGAACGTGTGCGGAACATGGAGGTGCCGTACGTTCGGTACTTGGATCGGGAAGACGTACGACTACTTCCTCTATGTTGTGTCAATGCTTCCGTTGCCGGTCTACGAGGGTACGTAGACAACACTCTCCCCTCTCGTTGCTATGCATCACCATGATCTTGCGTGTGCGTAGGAAATTTTTTGAAATTACTATGTTCCCCAACACTAATTTAGTTTTTGTAGTACATATATTTAATTGTACAAGTTTAATCTTTGAATTATGAACATAGGAAATGTCGTACTCGGACGACGAAAGTCTCCCGGGAGAATGCGACTGGTGCAACGATGACCGAGGTCTATGCGACAGGCCTCATTGGATGAAGATCGGCGCTTCAGCATTAAGCTCCAGGGGACCTTCAATGTTGAAACGGTACGCAACGACGACAAGTGTTTTTTTCGTAATTAAGCACGACTTCAACTATTTCAACATGTAATTTTCATCTTTTACAATTCGACTAGCTTATCCCATGCCATGCAAGATGTTATGTCTTGGAGAGGATGGGTTTTGAAGACCATGAAAGTTTCGAAACAAAGAAAATTCACCTAAGGGCCCATCATGGTATGGATTTTTAAGTAAATCTGTACAATTCTCAGAGCGTAACCCATTTTGGTTGCTTGGGAAGCACTTTGCAAAATGTATGGCTTTTACAAGGATATGCTTGTCACCATGGATCTTGGTGATCCTGACATCGACCAAGACAATATGGACATTTAGGTCCTTGTTGATACGCTTTCAATTCTACCGCTACATGGGTTTCTCAAACATAGTTATTAACTAATTTATATTGTTTATTTCAAATAGTTGACAGCTTATTTTTATCCTTCAAACAATGTGCGGAAGATGGTAGACAGAACCTACTACACCGATGGCTCCGACTTAACTTATCAGGAGAAAAATCATCTGATCGCATTTTGTACTGAACTTTAGAATTACAATATCTATTATCAAACTCCTCCACATTATGGTCAATACGTGCCACTAGTGCACGTATTGAACCACGGTAACATTCATAGAGATGCCATGGTAAGATTTTTTACTATTACGACATCCGTGCATCTTTTGCATACTTCTAAAACTGAACTACATTGCTAACTACGAAGTTATTACTATGTTTTTCAACAGAAAATCCCGAAGGATTGTGTGCCTCATCTGATATATCAGAATGGCCGCCTTGATGTTTTGAACATACAGCCAGGTCATCCTATGAATCTCACATGTCCATATCGGATTTCTAAAACTGGTGAACACATGGTAATCAAAGAATGGAAAAACTATATGAACAATTATAAGGAGGTTCTTGGAAGCAACATTGTTCGAAAGGCAAGAATTGGAGACAAGATAATCTTCATTCTCCATAATGGAGAGTCAGGGGCTATCTTGTTTTATGCTATTTTACCTAAAAGAATATAGTACGTCCTAAGAGAATATAGTAGGTCCTAAGAGAATGTAGTAGGTCCTATGAGGTACAATGTTTATTATATGGTACAATGTGTTAGAGTTGATGATGAGAAGTAGTTGTGATTATGACTAGTGACCAACTTGCTATGTGATGTCTCATTGATGATCATGAGGAGGTGTTATATGACAATGATATATTATGATGATAAGTTGTTAATGATATGATGATGATGATATTTATTATATCATTGGGTGAAAGAACTGCAGATTAGTTTCAAGTGGATGTCCATCCGCTTGAAACTACTCTGCGGTTCTTTCATCCAGTGATGTAATAACTCATTATGATGTAAAAACAAACTCTAAATTGTTGTTGTATGAAAAATTGTATAAAGGTGTATGAATATAACATGAAATAAAAAGGAAATAAAATACGGAATAATAGTAGTAGCGCAGGCTGGGAGAAGCGCTACTAGTAATTACCGGTAGCGCTCTTTGGAGAAAGCGCTACTACTAAGTCAATATAGCAGTAGCGTGGGTTAACCCACGCTACTGCTAACATTTAGCTGTAGCGCCGTACCAGTAACACTTTCGCCCGTGCTACTGATAGGCCTAAAACACGCACTACTGCTAAGCTTTTCCCTAGTAGTGTAGAGTTGCTCTTTTGCACGTCATGCCATGACACAGAGATAGTATTAGCTAAGTTGTAATGTAACAAAATGCCATCCACATATGACTGAAAATTTCCATGGGTAGATGGGTACAAAAATGAGACTATGCTTTCTGTGCCCACTAGCCCCAAACATTCTTTGATGTGTAATGTGATTTGCATGTGGGGTTTTCCTTATTTTGCAAAACAAAAATGGACAGGGCGGTATCAGCCAGGCATGGAGAATGCCATCGTGAAATACGACAAAACTGGATGATTTGGATTCAACTTGTCCACTGCTACCCCTATAACGACAGTATGTGAAGGAACATATGATACACGTGTATAGGAGTAATTGTTTGGTGCAAAAAAAAAACAAATTTCCCATGTTTACATTGGTTTTTGTTTTTCATGCCGAACAACACAAAAAAGAGAAAAACATAAAGAGCCAATTTCAGCACTGAACACAACAAAATACTTACCTTGCATGTGCATGACATAAAGAGTTTCAGCAGTTGATGTCAGGGACTGGCATGTGACAACTTTCACTGTGAGAAGATGGACTTTCGATAAAAGCTGCATGAGAAAATAATTGCCATGAACATATCATTACAATTGCATAAATGGAAAATACCCATTATATAATTGAGATCATGTAGATTTCCTGTTGAAAACATATTGTTACAATTTGCAATGGAAAAGCTAGATGAAAAAGGGAATTATTCTGGTAATGTCTTTTAAATTTTGAAATGTTGGGGAAATTGCCATCATAAATTGAATGAAATTAACAACAATGGATTTTAGTGGGCATTGAGAGAATGTTTTGCCATCTAACTTTGTAAAAATTAGAAACAATGTGTGTGCTCTTCGGCATACAACTTTCAGTCGGTTTGCTTGCACTTGATATCATGACAAAGAAACATTGAATAAAGAGTAGAAAAATATGTTTTGCTACTGTGTACTGCAATAATTTGCCATCACCATGGTATGTTAGTTGCCAAGGGAAAATAAGGGAGCTTCAGAAAAGTACTACATGGTATTGCAAAAACTTGACATGCAAAAATAACGTTATTTGCCATGTACATATAGTATAATTTGCCAAGCAAAGATGACAATATTTGCCATGTACAGCAAAAAGAACCTAACATTGATCCTTGTAGAAAAATGCAGGGCCTCCTGTTTCAACTAAGGATGCCTGTCCTACACAGACTACAAGGCTAGCACAACCAGTTTTTTCAGCGCAACACAAGCCGTCATAACAGATTGTCGCAAGCAACGCACAAACGCGCACATTGCAATAACATTAGAGGCAACACATGCGCCAAATGAGTGGCAGGCGTCCAACTGGGATGAAAATCACTCTGAGACGGTGGTGTACCCACCGCCAAGCACTGAAATTAAGCTTGGCACCTTTGAGGAAGCTCAAAACTACTATCAAGAATATGCAAAGTTCCACGGGTTCTCAATTCGCATAAATCATCGCCAAAACGTCAAGCCAGGGGAGTACAGCAGGGGCGAGCTAAAGTGCTACAAAACGGGGGGAAACAAGAACGATGCAAACAAAAGAAAAACTAACAAAGGGGATTCAGTGGTCCTGGAGCGCAAAAGGACCGCTACAGAGGAGACATTATTGAGTAACAAAGTGAGTGTGTTTTAGCTTGAAAAAAAGCTACCGGAAATCCTTTAAAAAACTGCCAAAATTCATGTGAATGGAAGCAAATTTTTTTATGATTTTCTTGATAGACTAGCAAATGCATCTGTGTCACACTGCTAGTAACATAGATCTATTACAAAAGTTGAGTGAAAGTACAAAACACCCCAAACATAATAAAAAAATACGGGGTCAAACATAATAAAAATTTAAATCTAGCTTCTTGGACAACCGAACAAACCAGATGCTTTGCTTATTTGCTTCTGCCTTTTTTTCTGCTGTCTTTCCACATCTATGTCAAATCGTACATCCTTGTGCATCTCTTTTGAGCGGGCCGTGCATTCATCTATCCTATCTTTATTCGGTGTCTTGCAATGTCATGTTATTGGTACGGATGTGGCCGGGCACGGCACTTGCGTACGCGGAGGTTATGCATGCCCCCCATGTTCTCTCAGTTTCCCGATCAGGGCATGCACGCGCGCACGTTACACCCAAGGTATGATGCAGTCTGACCCACGAGCTAGACTCGGATTTTACCCAGCCACGAGGAGCCAGTCTAACTAACCATTAACCCCTAGCCATATCCATTGGGGGATAGCTTGGGGAATGCGAACCCCGCCACGCTATAAGCTAGGCCTCTCTCATCGCCCCAGCCAGTTCACAACGAACATCGCTCCTCTTCCTCAAGTCAGCCGTCTCCTTCCCGGCGAGCAAAATGGTCTCCGCCGACGCAGCTCGCAACATCGTCGGCATCATCGGCAATGTCATCTCCTTCGGGCTCTTCCTCTCCCCTACGTAAGCCCCTGCCCTCCTCTCCTCCGCGGCCTTTGTCTGGAAGGTGGCTGTCGGCAACTTGTTTCTTTTGCCTTGCCGGTGCAGGCCAACGTTATGTCGGATCTGCAAGGCCAAGGATGTGGAGGAGTTCAAGCCGGACCCCTACCTCACGACGCTGCTCAACTGCATGCTCTGGGTCTTCTATAGCCTCCCCATCGTCCACCCCAACAGCATCCTCGTCGCCACCATCAACGGCATCGGGCTCGTCATCGAGGGCGCCTACCTCATCATCTTCTTAATCTACTCCACCAACAACAAGCGGGTACGTACTACGTCCCTCCTAATTAATCCCCATGGCTTGTTGGTTTTTGTATATATAGAAGAAGATGTGGCCCTAACCCATGCCCCTGCGTGTGTACGTGCAGCTGAAGATGCTCGGCGTGCTCGCCGCCGAGGCGGTGTTCATGGTGTGCGTGGTGATCGGCGTGCTCCTCAGCGCCCACACCCACGAGAAGCGCTCCATGATCGTCGGCATCCTCTGCGTCATCTTCGGCTCTATCATGTATGCCTCCCCGCTCACCATCATGGTACGTAAAATGATGATCTACTTTTTTTAATTGGTGGGAGGTGTTGTTATTTTGTAGAGTTTTATTTTGCACTCAGTTAGTAGTTGCGTGTTAGGCTACCCGTATCATATCTAGTATCATGCATATCAACAAGGCAATTTTGTTGAGGTGACATAAAAATTAAATGAAGAAAAAGAGGATTAAGTATCATAATAAATGCTATGCTACTCTATGACATATATGGCAATAAATAAGGTCACCTATAAGATACTAAGATATGATACTATGAATTACCAAGATAGTATCAATACACTAGTATCATATGCATGATACTAACTTATAATACTAGCCATTATGAGCAAACTTAATGCCGCACGTGTGGCTAACCAACATTGTCCTCTCCTTATGGAATGTACTTGTAGTCCGTATGGCTAGCGCTAGCGAACGAAACAACTTTCTGTTGCAACCGCCAAACTCTCGTGTTAGCTGTTGAGTGATGTTCATGATCTAACTAAAACCTGTGATCCAGCGCTTCATCACAAATGTATGTGCGGTACCTAGGGAATGCAATGCATGGAGATATAGATCATATGTTCCCACTGTTGTAATCTTTGCCTTTTTGTGATCCTTCCCTTTTGCCAACTCTATGAGTTGATGATGACATGATGTCGAAATCGAAGAAAAAGGATACCGCACCGGCCACTAACATCGGGGTTTCATGAATCCCGTGGGTCATGCTTTCTAGGTGTAGGGTTCATCTTTGTACTGCTGTTAATTGACCATGGAATTTGTTTACTCATCATCTTAATCATATATATTTAATGACTTGGCCTTGTGCTTGTAGCAAATTATGAAAGTACTAGTAACTAATACTGTACTGCTTGCAGGGTAAAGTGATCAGGACCAAGAGCGTGGAGTACATGCCATTCTTCCTGTCGCTGGTGAACTTCCTCAATGGGTGCTGCTGGACGGCCTATGCGCTCATCAAGTTCGATCTCTATGTAACGGTCAGTACATACATACACATCCCAGAAAGCTCCAAACCCAGACTTACACTTTGCATAGATCTAATCAATTGTAGTGCCCTCTTTTAACTATGTGCAGATCCCCAATGGCCTTGGCGCTTTTTTCGGCCTCGTCCAGCTGATCCTCTACGCCTGCTACTACAAGTCGACCCCGAAGAAGGAGAAGAACGTCGAACTGCCCAACGCCATCAACAACAACATTAGCGGAGGCGGCGATAACGTCTCCATCACCGTCGAGAGATAAAACCTGGCTTTGCAGCAGTAGCAAGCCCGCCGTCGCCGATCAAATCCGGCCCACCAATGGCTGAGATTTTAGCCAAAAACATGTTGAATAGTTATGAATTCCTGGTGACGCTTCAGCAAGTGTGGTGCTAGCTAGTACCATTTGTTAGGCAGAGTCGTCTAAGTGTGCCTTTGTTTCGTGAACCATTGTCGTCTGTATAGTGCAAAACTGATGGAACAATGTATACGTAGCTGACTTGTCCCAGATAGTGAATGAGACCATGCTTGTCACCTGCTCGCTCAATCTACTCTGGTTGGCGCGCAAAACATGTCTGGGCGGAAAGGAGACACGGGCTTCCTGGCTGACTGCTGCCCTTTTCACGTGACGATGCCTGCTTGTTGCTGCTCAACGTACGCTTGTACTGGCAACCTTTTCGTGTAGTGTGTGTCTAGTGTAGCAGTACATCAAATTTGGGCGTTAGAAGTAATAAACAAACCGCTAAGTTAAACTTGGACCTTATGATTTCTACATAATATGCATGTATATATAGAAATCTTGCACCGGGGCCTTGCTTTGTTGAGCTAGGGAGGCAAGAGGGTGTTGCCTTTTTCATTATAAATATCGATATGTTACCCGCAAAAGAAAAACAGATGTCATCTTCGGTACAATATTTCAGAGGGTGGTAAGTGGCATAATCCACAATTTCGGAAAAATTCATGTGTGAAGATTGATTTTGCAGTTGAACTTGAATATCAAATTAAGGCCGGTGCATGATGAACCCATGTTTCTACTTGGCTTCCCATTGCGTGATTATTTCATTACTGTTTCTCATTTGGTGTGATACTATCTTGTCTAATTGGGTTAGTTCGACAAACTCGGGGCACGCACGTCTGAGGGCCCACATGCATACGGCCATCCATTTGCTTCAAGATGCCTGCCCCCACTCGCCTAAAAAAAATGCCTGCCCCCACAACTGTTGTCGAGCTCATGACGGCGCCACCTGGTCTCATCGATTCCAGACTCCCTCAGCCCTACGGCCGCCCAAGATGAGCCTCGCCACTGTCTGCCGAGCTCGAATAGGAGCCAGGCGACGTGCAGCAAGCCACATCGAGACGGACCGAGTTGTCGGTGCTCGCGCGTCGCTGCGCCGCCAAACTATCTAGCACGCCTGGATCCCCTCCTACATCGCCTTTCCTCTGCCTCCGGCAAGCGTCTCAGCCCCGACGACCTCCGTCGGCTTAAATAACCTCGGTGCCTCGGTGGTGATTGGATCCACCTCCTGGCCTCCCCACTATCGGATCTTCATGTTTCATTTGGTTTCGAAAATTTAGATACCCAGTTTTACGTCTGCTGTGAAAAAAACACTAAATCTTCTCTCTTCTCACCTAAATCAGTTTTTAGGTAGCCAAATTCTAGGCTATCCCTTGGAGATGCCCCAAACAAGCGACATGCATGGGAGACCATCATGGCATATGCACCGCATAGCAACATCATATATTTCTGGACAATGCTTAGTGAACATTCATACAAGTGTCTAGGAGTCATTGCTATTAGTTGCTTATTTAATATTGCCTAATTGAGACTTTTAATATGTTAGTGTGAACCTTTGTCCACTTGGAAATTGGAACCTTAGAACGTCTTCTTCAGAGTCTTATTGAGTTTTTTTAGGCTGCATGGTTGCCTATCTAAGCTATTTTGATATTTCTTGCAATATATATCTATTTGTCTGCCATGGATGCCCTTATAAACCAGAGAAATTATCTCTAATTTTGAACAATTTTCAGAGGCCTTCTATCTACTTGCCAAAATATTATGGAGCAATGTGAATCTTACACTTGACCAAAATGAATTACAGTCTTCTATGCAAGTGGTTGTGGAAGTTGTGAAGTACCATCGACAATTGGAAAATGATACTTTACTAGAAATATCTTCAGCAGGCGTGTTTTGGCCCAGTGGGAAAATGGTTCCGGTGTTTCTCACTTATGACAGAGCTTGATTGGGTGGGGGTCATATCTTTCCGAGATACATAAGAAAACAATTGGTTATAGAGCTATAAAAATGCATTGGGGAGATGATTGGATGGATGGGGGGAGGGGATCTAGCTCCCCAATTCTCTAGGCTTCATAGCGTCACATTTTCAAAGAAGAAGACAATCAAGAATATCATGGATGATGATCAGATAGGATACCTTTTAGAAGAATACTTATGGACGAAGTGGCATTATAGTGGTTACAACTTGAAGAAAAAGTTCAATATTTGCAAACGAATGATGAAGAAGATAGTATGATTGGAAATTAAACAATGGCAAGTTATGTGCGAAATCACTTTATTATCTTCAACTCATAGCAGGACTAGTGGCCCACTACAAACATCTTTAGAAGCTAAAGATCCCTTTGAAAATCAGAATTTTCCTTCGGTTGAGACTGAGAAAGAACATCTTAACACAAGATAATCTCATGAGAAGGGGATGGAGAGATGATGAGCATTGCCCTACTCTACGAAAGAGATGGTGAACCATCTTCCGTTTTAGTGTTCTTTAGCAATATTCATCTGATAGGTGGTGAATTGTGAGCTTCCAGAGGGCACCATCCGACGTTGAGGATATGCCCGGCAGATGAATTTTCTCTTTTGTAATGGAATCGTGAAGCTTGCTCCTTGGTTGGCGGTTCTCATTTACTAGTTCATTTGGAAGACACCCAGTAATTTCTTTGATCGCAAATTTCTTAATGATCATGCTTCCATCATTTTTCTCTTTGAGCAATTATATTAACTTTTGGACGATATTACATAAAAGGTGTGGATGAAATAATCATGAAGAAGTGGCTTGGGCTTCTTTTGCTAGTTCTTTGGGCATTGATTGTTGAGTTTTTTTCTCTGGTGTTTAGGAGGCTTGAAGGAAGCCCTAGTGTGTCTAACACGGAGAAGGAACAGAAGGGATGGATGAGACTTTGGAAGTATAAAATACTGGGGAAAATTGTAATTTTCTCATGGAGGCTGGCCTGGAAAACATAGAAATACGGCTACAAAATCAAAATGCACAGCCTACAGGAGAGATGATTTGTGAAGACATTCTTTTTGGAGTATCAATTACACAATGTGTGTGGGTACTGGTAGACAGGGACACGTATGCGAGAATTCAGAATTGTGGAGAGCCTAATGCGAAAAATTGATTGTTTGCCATGGAAGAGGAACTGGATCATAAAGAGTACTAACTGACTTTTCATACGATGAAATTGGGGCACACATATTTTTAGTTGTTCAACATTAAATGTGTCTCACATATATCTTACACCCACATATTCGAAAAAATTGTAAGATTGATTTGATTTGAGCATGGGTAGGGGAAGGCAAGGAAAGTTTTGATTTAGTTGAGGTTTTGGTAAGATTTAATTTTATTTGGTTATGGGTAGGAGAAGGCAAGGAAAGTTGTGACTTAGTTGAGGTTTTGGTATGATTTGATTGAGTTAATGCAAGCACATGGTTTTTGGGAGGACGGGTGAGACCTAAGCCCTGAACGATGTACAAACTCCCCTTTAATTAAAGATGTTACTATGATGGTTACTCTATGAGCGTTACGGAGGGCGAAGCGTGACTTAATTCACGAAAACATCTGCCAAAGTCCTTTGCATAAGCAATTTTATTACATGTTTCTTGGATGAGCTTGTTGCACTGGAGGATGGGGAGATACAAAAAACCATGAGAGGGGTTCGTGAACAGACAAGCAAGTGGATTCCGCCACCACTAGGTGTGGTCAAAGGGAACTGTGATGGAACATTTTCGACGGAGAACAGAAGATGTGTAGCAGTTGTTATATCCAGAAAAGAAGATGGCTTGTTCATGGGAACCTCAGTACAATTTTTGGACAGGATATTAGATTCGGCATGTGTTTAGGTCACGATATGTCGTGAAGCTTTGTTCATGCGGCAACACCAGAGCATAGGAGCGGTTGTCATTGTATCTGATTGTGCAAGTGTGGTTGGCAGCATCGAAAAAGGAAGTTGAGGCAAAATTTTAGTGGTGATAGAAGAAATCGGAAGTCCGAAGATCGCGGTGGGTGATCTATCATTTCGACATGAACGTGGTGACCCGAACTTTGATGCTCTTCAAATAGCTAGAAACTTTCTTGTTTTAATGCGAGGCCGATACATATGGTTTCTGGAACCCCCTGACTATGTCAACATTGTTGTTGATCAATGAAAGGTCCAGTGTTTTCGCAAAAAATTAATCTAATCAGGTGGTCCTCCTCTCTCTCTCTCTAAAAAAGGTACTTTTTTTAGTGGAAAAATATGTATCTGGCTTGGGGCTGATCCTTGGTATATGGCTTAGGAAAACCATGGATGATATGCAATCATTGAATACCTGTGAAACAAATGGAATCTTGATTCTTGTACATGGCTTAATAAGATTGAGCAGAATTGAATTCAAAAAAGTTTAGCAGAACTACGTTAGAAATGTACATGTCCCTGCCAAGGTTTTTTTTTCCTCGATTCCGGTTTTTTCTGGGAGGAACCAGAAAAAACGGTTTCCAGAAGATCACGGATTTTCCAGATTTTTTTGGGCCTGAAATATTTAAACGAATTTTGAATTCGATAACACTTGCGTCAAAATATATTAACGTACAAAGAAAGAGATGCATATATGTGAGATAGGAAAATAAAACGGCTCTATACTAAACCTTCCGAGGATAAGGACCGGCTTATAATTAGCAAAACCTTCCACAAATGGCGCGCGATCCACCGCAAAATCCGTCTCTTCTAAACTAATCACGATATTTACGATCTTAAAAATCCCCCCAAACCCAGAGCCAAAACCCTCACCCAGACCAAACCGATCGATCATCATGGCGGCGGCGGCTGCTGCTGCGGCGTGCCGCAGGGCCGTCTCCTACACCCTGCGCGGTCCGCCGGCCGAGAGCCTCGCCGCAACGGTAGCTGCGGCCGCCACTGGCGACCAGTTCGTGGACCTGCTCGACGCCAACTTCAACAAGCCTGCCCCGGCGCTGCCGGCGAAGACGCGCACGG